CTGTTGCAATGTCTGGGCTCGATATGTTTCAGTATGTCTGTATATACGCACCTAGTTCTGCTCTGTGTGAATCGAGCTACGCAGCCGAGCATATCCGCCACCGCGCTGTGAGAGAGAGGGCTTGGGAGGGCCCGGGTGCCGTTGGGGGGGACCTACCAAGAGCGCCCCACTTGTGATTTCTCCTGCGGCAGTCTGGAAGTTCATGGACTTGGAGCAATCAGGGACCCTTAAACCAAGACGTTGCCAACCACGAGATTGTTTTTATCGCCCCCCTCCGTAACGTTTGTCATGGGGGGTCCGCCCCCCCCCCCCCCCCGTAACGGTAACGATCGTACGGCGGGCGGTGGCGCGAACCCCGCCCCCCCCGTGCGCACGGTTGTCGCGGTGTACACATCGGCGGCGCACATAGGCGCTGTTGTGCACGCAGGCGCCGTGGTGTACACCAGCGCCGTGTTGCACGCGGCTGTTGTGGTGTACGCAGGCGCTGTGGTGCGCGCAAGCACCCCTGCCTTCGCGACAACAGAAGATGATGTTCCTCCCTCCTCCATCTTTCTTTCCTCACAGGCCAGCGACGGCGACGGCGACGGCGGCGGCGACGACGACGAACGACGACGTCCAGGCTCGGGTTCCCTTGGCTCAAGCATCTTGGCCTCCTGCTGCTGCTCCTCCTGCTCATCCTGCGTGTATTCCTTGTGCTGACGCCGTTCCGCGCGCCCCTGGGCCGCGTGGTGTTCACGGGCGCTGTGGTGCATGCAGATGATGCCGCAGCAGCTGCAGCAGTCCCAAACATGATTGTGTTCGCATGCAGGGAGGTGCACAGAGGCAGCGCGGTGTACACAGACAGTTTCGGCCAAGAACCAGGGTACCGCGCCCCGGGCCACTAAAGTCAAGATAATTGACATGCGTGCGCTCTAATGCACACGGCCGCTGTGACTGCTGTGCACGCGGCGCTCTGGTGCACTCGGGTGCTGCCTGCGGGCTGCACAGGCGCTGCGATGCAGTTGCACGGCTACAGCGGTACATACGGCAACGACTCTGTGATGCACACGGCTGTTGTGGTGTGCGCGCGCCATGTGGTGTACGCAGACGCCGTGGTGCACGGGGTCCCTGCGACGCAGGCACCCAGGCGCTCCATTCTGGCGCACGCTGGAGCTGTGGAGCACGCAGGCACTGGTGTACACCGGCGCTGTGTTGCTCACGGCTGCTGAGGTGTACACAGGCGCTGTGGTGCACACAGGCACTGCGATCTACACAGGCGCTGTGATGTACACGGCTGCTCTGGTGTACACGGGCGACGCGGTCTACGCAGTCGCTGTGGTGCACGCAGGCACTGCGGTAGGCACCGTCGCTGTGTTGCACACGGCTGCTGTGGTGTACGCAGGCGATGCGGTGTGCACCGGCTCCGTGCACAGGCGCTGCGGTACACGCATGCCACCTCCCGCCCCCACCGCAATCGTTGCTGTTACCGCCCCCCCGCCCCCTTCCTAACGGACGTTACGGGCCCAGAACGCTCTCCAATATTTTGAAATTTGTATCTGGCGAGAACTAAGAATGGAGAATGTTTCGACCCCGCAGTTTTCACGGGCGCGCCGACGTCCTGGTGTATCAAAGCTCCTGTTTAGGGTGCCTTGAAGTCAAATTTTGTCCATGTTCGCCTCGACGCTGAGGGGGCAGTGGGCCCGAGCTTTGGCTTCGCGAGGAGCGGTGCAGGATGCCCAAGCCGCCGCGTCACAGCGCGGAGGCGGACGTCTTGCTGTTCCCTCTGGCATCTAGGCTTTGCCACGGTAGTCCTGACATGTTCCCGTCGGGGCACTGCGCTCAGCATCCGCTCACACCAGCGCGACACGGCTTTCGCGCAAGGCGAGTGCTCGGAAGGACAGTTACAGGTACGACTCGTGCCCCAATGCTTCTCCGACAGGTTTTGCATCCAACTCCCCCGCTCATCCCCGAGGCGATCAACAAGCAGCGGCTCGAGAAGATCAAGCAGCGGCAGGAGGCCAGCCCTCTGATGCTATTGATGCTGGGCTTTTTCAGAGGAGCGCCCTCTACCAGTTCAATATTTCGCGCCGGTGGTAGAAGTATCTTGACCTCGTTGCCTTTCCACCGCACTCCCCCGTCCATACATACCCCGCCCATGAGTCGTGGTCGCAATACCTTATGGCCAGTTCGCCATTGTTTGAGCTAGCTACACAGTTGCGTGGCCGCGAAATCCCGTCACAGCGATTTCGGCAGCGAATGGGGGAGGGTGGGGCTTGGGTGGGGGTTGGGATGGCGGGGTTGGAGTGGGGGTGGCGTGGGACATCTGACGCAGAAGTTTGATTTTATCTTTGTTCCCCAAGTAGGCTTGCCTAAGGGGTTTTATTTGGTCAAGGGTTGGTGCCTCGGGTGGCTACTTTGCCCGTTCCGCGGAGGTTTCCTGGCTTCCTCGAGTTCACTGGGTTCCTCGGGTTCCCCGGGTTCCCCAGGTACTTCGGGTTCCTAGGTTCCTCGGGTTTCTCGGGTTCCCCGGATTCCCCTGGTTCTTCGGATTCCTCGGATTCCCCGGGTTCCTCGGGTTCCTCGGGTTCTTCCTCGGGTTCTCCGGGTTCTCCGGGCTCCCCAGGTCCCCGGGTTCCCTGGGTTCCCTGGGTTCCTCGGGTTCCCCAGGTTCCTCGGGTTCCTCGGGTTCCTCGTGTTCCTCGGGTTCTCCGGTTTCCCCAAGCAATGCCAAGCAACGCCAAGCAATGCCAAGCAATGCCAAGCATTGCGCCCATGCAATAGGAAGCTTTCCCCTAATTTGGGTTGCGCCGGGTTCTTATTTTCGCATGGCACAGTGGGATGATGCTACAGCGCACGGGACATGATGAAACGTCAGCGCGCGTTGGACTCAAGGCGCCGCGGGGCCTCAAGTATCGCTTCGCAAGAAGGAGCGCCATCGAACAGCAGCGAGTGGCCCGAAACAGGCACGGACACACCAACTGCTGCAAGCCCGATGGCGGGTCTTGCAGTTTCTTCGTTCAGGAAGTGAGTTTCGCTCGCCGCGTGTTTATCAGCAGAGCCCTGCGGTCGACGCCCGAAGCTGCCCGCGATAGCGAATTCTACCGACCTTGAGCTTCCATGTGTTTGCTCCGAGCAAAGTCTGCTGGAGGTTTTCAACATGTCGAGATACTGACATTTGGTACGTACGTCTGTGAGAGTACCCCAGACGCTTGCAGCGTTCAGCCCTGCATGGTACACTTTGCTGTGTCGTGCGGCTGCGAGGACTTGGTCCACTTGCGCAGCTTATGACAGGGCTGGATTCGCAAGCGCGTCGTGCTGCCGACTCTCCATTCATCCCACTCGCAGGATCAGGGTCGACACGACCGCCTCCTCCTTCTCCTCCCCTTCCTCCTGTCCCTCCTCCAGCTTGGAAAGAGACACATGGAGGCCGATGCTGCAGAGGCGCTGGGGGGCGGGCAGCGTCTGACAGATCATGGGCCGGGAGACGGTCTGAGGCACCATACTGAGAGGGTTTCAATTTGAGTGGACCACCTGTGCGCTGACCGCTAGGGAAAAATATGGGAATGCAGTGTCAAACTGTTGGTTTAGATAGGGCTGCAACGTTTCATTGCCGAGTCAAGCCTAAAGCAATTGCAGATTGCGATGAACTCGACCCAAACTGAGTTCTTGACACGCTCAATGCAAATTTAGTCCAGGCCGCAAATCAAGCATGAAAGCATGCTAGGTGCAATGCAATTGCCAGTTGGAGGTAAAGTACAGGCAAGCTGCCACTAGTCTTGCACGCAGAGGCACACTTGAATCAACTGTCCACTCAAGGATGCAATTTATGCTGAAGTAGTCAGACAAAGGAGTCATATTGGAGGACATTCTCGAGGGACCAGAGGGAGAGTGCTACTGAAGATACCGACAAAGGGGACATCGAGGAACACAAGCGAAGGGGCTTGCAATTGCCACCATGTCCTTTAGGCCAGAATGTGAGAGTGCTTGTGAACTTCAGTCAACTTTGGTTAAGACAGCGAGATAGAGGAGGGGATGGACGATTCTGCTGATGATGATGAGGGTGCTGATGGTGATGATGATGTTGATGATGGTGACGATAGTGATGGTGGCTGTGGTGATGACGGTGATGATTGATGGTGGTAATGCGAATAGCGATGATGAGAATACTAACGATGATGATGACGATGATGATGATGATGATGGTGATGGTGATGACGATTATGATGATGATCAGAATCATGATCATGGTGACGATGTTGATAATGATGATGATGTTGGCTCTTATACTTGTTCGTATCAGCAATATTGGTAGTACTTCTGCTGCTACTACTGCTACTACTACTAACGCGACGATGAAGATGATGGTGGTGCTGAATACTATGATGTTGATGATGATGTTGATGATGCTGCTGGCGTTGATGATGCTGCTGGTGATAATGATGATGTTGACTATGACAGGATGATGATGATCACGCTGACATGGATGCTGATGCTGATGCTAATGATGATGATGATGCTGATGATGATGGTGATGGTGATGGTAATGGTGATGATGATGATGCTGACGATGCTGATGCTGATATGATGATGGTGATGATGATGATGGTGGTGATGATGATGGTGAGGATGAGGATGAGGATGATGATGGTGGTGCTGCTGCTGATGATGCTGATGATGCTGATGATGATGATTGTGGTGGTCGTGGTGGTGCGGGGGAGCGAGAGGAGGACGAGGAGGACAATGAGGAGGAGGAGGAGGAGGACTCCAGACGGGAGGAGGAGGAGCAGGAGGATACAGTTGGAGGAAGGGGAGGAAGAGAAAGGCGGTCCCTGACTCCTGATCCGCCGTAGGGATCTCTTGGAGCCTCTTCTGGCTTTCATAAGGTCCACACGGGGCAGCTTAGCATCATACCACACACATTAATTATCATGATGCAGCAATGTTGCCTGTCGCTCCGCCGAGAGAGGGAGGATGGGCCAGAGAGAGCAGATGAGTCCAAGAAGGATTGTCTTACGAGTTCTTGTTCCTTCTGCTTCCTCTCATGTGCCTCCTCTCCTCCTACTCTCCCTGATCCAGAGGTGATGGTGGCAATTTCCAACGACGCAAAGGCTGCGCTCACCAAGGCTGCGCTTGGGCACCATGAGACATGAATGAGCAGAAGCAGCGGTGATATTCGTTCCCACACGATCTCGCACCGATGCGGAAGAGTGCTGGTGTCCAGTAACAGCGAGGGCACATATGATGCGGAAGAGGAGGAGGGGGAGGAGGAGGCAGGGAAGGGGGACGCCGACGACGACCACAAGGCGGGGTCGAAGGTAGAGGAGGAGGAGGAGGAGGAGGAGGAGGAGGAGGAGGAGGAGGAGGAGGAGGAGGAGGAGGGGGAGGAGGGGGTGCAGGATGAGGTGTAGGGGGAGGTGGCGCAGGAGGAGGAGAAGGAGGAGGAAGAGGAGGAGGGGGTGCAGGGTGAGGTGTAGGGGGAGGTGGCGCAGGAGGAGGAGAAGGAGGAGGAGGAGGAGGAGGGTTATGAGAAAGGGGGAGGAGGAGGAGGAGGAGGAGGAGGAGGAGGAGGAGGAGGAGGAGGAGGAGGAGGGGGAGCGGGGGAAAGCCCCAGAGGCTTTCAGACGGCTCCCAAGAGGTCGCTTGGGGACCCAAAGCAAGCCCAATCCCACCCGAAGAGAGCCCCTGCAGTGCCCCACAGTGCCCCGGAACGGATGGCAAGGAGAATCGGGGGCGAGGAGTAGCGGGATGAGCACGAAGGGAAACAGGTGGGATGAGGGCGAACGAGCAGGAGGAGGATGAAGAAGAGGAGGCGGAGGTTGATGACTTCGAGAGAAACGCGGGCGAACAATGGTGGTGGTGATGATGTGTACGAGGAAGGTGGTGGTGGTGGTGGTGGTGCTGCTGGTGGTGGTGGTGATGATGGTGATGGTGATGGTGATGATGATGATGATGATGATGATGATGATGATGATGATGATGATGATGCTGATGCTGATGCTGATGCTGATGCTGATGATGATCATGATGATGCTGATGCTGATGATGATGATGATGATGATGATGATGATGATGATGATGCTGATGCTGATGCTGATGCTGAGGCTGCTGATGATGATGCTGGTGCTGACGCTGATGATGCTGATCATGCTGATGATGCCGATGGTGATGCTGCTGATGATGATGACGATGCTGCTGATGATGATGCTGATGATGCTGATGATGATGATGCTGATGATGCTGATGGTGTTGTCGTTGAGGCTGATGATGCGGATGAGGATCAGCACGTTGCAGCCCGAGGGAGGGGGAAGCGATAAGAGGATGACGCAGTCGTGAGATCACACGGCATATGGACCCGTACCAGCGCGCCGAGCGCGCGTGGCTCAAGCCCGATCCTATCACCGCGCACGCTTTTTAGCCATTCGTGGAATCCTTGGCGCCTCGCGATGTCCCCATCAGCCCTTCCAAGAACAGACACCAGCCGAGCTGCCCTCATCAGGGATGTTTAACTGCATGCGGCCCGACAGTGACCCGCGTCCGTCTTCGAATATATCACGAACGATGAGAAGTAAGAGGAGGAAGATGATGATGATGATGATGATGATGATGATGATGATGATGATGATGATGATGATGATGATGATGATGATGATGATGATGATGATGATGATGATGAGGATGAGGAGGAGGAGGAGGAGGAGGAGGAGGAGGAGGAGGAGGAGAAGCAAGCGGAGGACGACAGGCAACCACTCAACCAAGGCTGTCGCGGGAAGCGCTTGCCCCCTACCATCGACGACGACGACGACGACGACGACGACGACGACGACGACGACGACGACGACGACGACGACGACGACGACGACGACAGGAGTCAATATCGAGACCTTTACGATTTTTTCGCTCTGGGAGCGTCCTGGAGGCCCCTTGGAGCCATCGTGGGGCCCTCTGGGGCCCTCTTGGGGCTCCCTTGGGGTCCTCTCGGGATGCTCTTGAGGCTCTCTTGGAGACCTTGGGAGGCCTTTTGGAGCCGGCCGTCAGTCGAAAGAGGGGGGGCGTAGATTAGGGTACCCCAGTCCGTGCCTGACACATCGCCTCTTGGGGCCCTCTTGGGCCGCTCTTGGGGCGGTCTTGGGCGCTCTTGGGGCCGCCTCTCTTGGTGCCATCTTGGAGCCATCTCGAGGCCTCAAGAACACATCGGAAACGAGAAGGCGATGAGGACGTCGCATTGAACACCACAATGGTATTTAATGGTTTCGGCATCTTGAAGGCCTCCTTGGGAGGCTCTGAGGGCACTTGGGGCCGTCCTCGGGCGATCTTGAGAGCTCTTGAAGGCATACTGGAGCCTACCTTGATCCATCTTCGGGTATCTTGAACGATCTTGAAGACCACCTTTGGCTCTCTGGGGCCCGCTTGGAGCCACCTGGGGCCAAAAAGGATGCTCTGACACCCCGCGGGGGGTGTCCCGGCCCATGGGGGTAGGGGGCAGGGGGAAGGGAAGCACCCTCCCCGAAGGGGAAGGAGGAGGTTCGCAGAACGAGCTCCTTAGACCTCTCCCCCCCGAAAGGGCCGGTGGAGCTCATCATCGTCGTCGTCATCCAGGATCGTCCGTGGGCGGTCGTCGGTCGTCGCCCGTGGTCGGTCGTGGTCGTCGTCGTCCGTGGTCGGTCGGTCGTTGGTCGTCAGTCCTCCGTCGTCGGTCGTCGTCGTCGCGGCCCGCCCGCTTGGGAAAGCGTCGAGGCGCTGGCGGACCAGGCCAAGTGCAAGGATTTCGTCACCAAGCTGATGGTGCAGGGCCTCCTGATGCTGCTCGAGAGCGAGGCCTCCTGGAGGACGGCGACGACGACCGACGACGATGGCGACGACGAGGCATCCTGAAGGACGAGGTGGGCGACGCCGACGCTGTGTCCGACGGCGGATCCGACGACCGAGGACGACCGCCCACGAAGGCGAGGAGGGAGATGATGATGCATACAGTTGTGATGGAGGTGGTGATTATGCCGATGATGGTGATGCTGGTGATGATGATGGTGATGGTGATGGTGATAGTGCTGGCGATGATGAGGACGATGAGGAAGAGGAGGAGGAGGAGGAGGAGGAGGAGGAGGAGGAGGTGGATGAGGCTCGTCCGTCTTCCTCCCCCCTTCACCTCTTCTGCTCCTCCCCCGCCCCTTCCCTAGCCATGTTGCGTCCAGATCTGCTGTTCCACAGGGGAGCGCGCCAAAACTTCGGACCCGAGGCAGCTTTCAGTGATTCGTGCGACCGGCACTAGACTGTGCGCTGGTCGTCGGCCAAGGGTGTGAGTTCACAGCTCCGAACGAAATCAAAGATGGGAAACCACACGCTCATGGTGTGCCAGGGTTGCGGCAACTAGTGCTACGACTGGCGTCTCAGGAAGCAGAGGGAATGATTTGGTGCCTGCGGAGGAAAGCGGAAGGGGTGGACCATTACGAATATCAGGACGTGGCGGGCGTCGCGGGGTGGCGGTCAGGATTGGCCGAGTCTCCTTGGCACCACGAACTTTACCCTCGAAGGGCACTCGCCACGTCTCAGTAAGGGTGGGCTCGAATCGAAGGATGAGAAAGCGGCAAAGTTGGTCCAGCAGGCCACGCTCCTGGTCGAGGAGGAGAAGCCAAGGCCGCCTGTCAAGTTGGGTTCCCGGGCCCTCGCAGACCCTCTGGGAGGCAACCGCAGGCCTGCGTCAGGAGGCAACCGCAGACCTGCGCCAAGAAGCCGAGTGCTCTGGCACGTGCTTCCAAGGTGCTTGTCCCTGTGGAGAAGGCGTGGTGGCCATGGACGAGGGGGGCCAACGTCGGCACCTTGTGCAGGACTACGTGTCCGATGCCCCCGGCCCCGTGCCCATGCGTTCCGACTTGTCCGAGGCCACCTACTTCAAGCTCGACCCAGTCTTGTTCACGGCGCTGGACGAGTTTGAGGAGGAGGACAGGACATGATTGGAGACCTTGCGTGCGCAGTTGGAAGCAGTAGCAAAACATGCGGAGGAGAAGCAGAAGGAGTGTCAGACGTTGTTGCCCGCTGATGCCAAGAAGATGCCTGCTGTTGGCGCCGAGCATGAATCGTCATGCCGCCAAAGCTGGTGAACTCCCAGCGACAGAGACGACGTCGTCCATCTCGGTTCAGTATGACCAAAGCAAGCATGGCATAGACATATCCTTTGGCAACCTCGCGGAGTGGGCCCTCAGGTCCCGCCCTTTTTGACGAAGCAATGTAATCAGCGACATGTTGTGCTACTGTGCGAGACGGCGAGTCGGACCTTCTCGATTTGGCACAGCACTTGGACAAGGATGCATGGAGATTTGCGTCGGCTGCGACACGTCCGTCAGGCAAGACAGCAGAAGGTTTGAGCGGTGGCGAGTGAGTGCCCACTCGCAAGCGTGTGGCCGCCACGCCTGGCTAGTCGGCGCCTGACACGGCGAAGCAGTAGGGCAGTGTTCATCCTTGTTGTGGGCTCTGCCCGATGACGCTGCACACTCGCTCTGGGAACAGTGCCTTAAGAGTTCTTATATCCAGCCAGGGCTGGGAGCGCGTGGGGTGGAACAGTGGGGTATGTATGACTCTGGGCGCGTTCGCGGGTGCCCTGGCCGACCCTTGGATTGCCCTGGCGGGCTGGAACAGCGAGCGCACGGCCACTGCCCTTCACTGGTTGGACCCCCCAGCTTCGATGATTGCGCAGCTACCTGTGACAAGGGGGCTGGTCGGCTGCATGATTATGCAGTTGTGAGCCAACACGTCCCAGAACTCATGCTCGCGTCTGAGGTGAGTGCTCCTTGGGGGCGCGCGGCCACTTCGTTGCCCAAAGGTGCTCCGGAGAACGATCGTCCGTCGATCGAAAGCACTCCAGCGTGATCAGTGCCCCACGCAACACGTGGGCTGAGCACGAGGGTCGCGCGGAGGGCCCCGAGTTACGTCTGGCTAAGATGAAGCTTGCGCCAGGCAGGACCCGCATGCGCAATCTTCGGGCCGAGTGGGGCCCGACAAAATTATCGGTGTTTGCGCGCCGAAGCGTTTCCTTTTGCGGAGTTGGGCTCCCTGGCGCGAGCGGCCGAACGACTCCTGCAGCGGGACACTCTGGCAACACGGTTGGCGCCACAAGAACCATCGGTTTAACGCTGACACCGCGCAAAGGCGTGCGGCATGGCGGGCGCGCTTGTTATTGGATGCGTTTCTTTGAGGTGCAGTGGAGCGGTCCAAGCATAGGCGGGGATATGTTCGGAGCTACTGCGGCGCACCTTGCCCTAGATGATGGCGAGCGCCTGGGGTACTTCTGCAAGCGCGTGGCCGCCGAGGAGATAAACTTGCGGCGTTGGTCGCTGTCCAATTTGCATCTGGCCCCGAGCGATGCTTTTGGGGGGGCTGCTTGGTCGAACTCGGAAGTGGGTTGATATAGCGCCAAGAGAACCTGAAGAGCGCCCCAGAAGACCCCCAAGAGGATCCAAGAGATCCTCCAGAGCGCCCCACGACGGCCTGAGCCCCTGAGCAGGCCCAAGAGGGCCCTAGGCAGCTAAGACTGGCCCGAGTTCCTTCCTGCCCTGCTTCAGTGTCCTTTCTCTCTTCCCAGCTCTGTGCCTCCTCACCCCTTTCAGGAACCCCGTCGAGGCTTCAAACAGGCAAGGACTCATGTAGGAAAGGGGGAACGCGGGAACGGACACACGACCCATTGTTTCCAGCTGTGCCTTGAAAGTCAGGCCCACCGCAAAGGAATCTTGAGAAACCCCGCTGGACTTTTGAGCACCTCTTCCTAAACGTCCGAAGCGCAGCGCACAGGCTTCCGGGAGGCCCCAAAACGGCCCCGCGCGTCCCAAACGTGCAGCCCAGAGACACAGCCGCGCAGACAGAGTCCTCGGGTGACCAGAATGATTATAGGAGCATCCAAGACAGCCTTCCACACAGTCATGGGCGGCCTACTTCGGTCCCCAAATGGAATCACAGGATGCGGGAACGCACAATCCTCTAAGGTCGGGGTTCGTGGCTCTATCAGGGCTCAGAGAAGGCAAACGTATGATTAAATGGCGAAGCGATCCTCGTCTACTTCCCCCACCCACCCCCCAGACTCCGACGTTATGTTGTTTGTGTTCCCCCCGCAGCGTGGACCCGTGGACGTCTCGACCCATTCCCCGGGGCCGTTGTTTCACCCAGCCACCTTCTGACGGTCTTGGGGGTCCAGTGAGGGCCCAGGTTTCGAAAACAGTTAACATCCTTCCGTCGGGGTGTTTTCATGTGGCGAGGCTTCTTCCTCCCCTCATTCTTCCTCTTGCTTCTGGACCCTTTGTTGAGGAAGTCTCCTGGCCATAACGCGCGTCATCCTGGGATGGGAGGTGAAGGGTCTTGAAACAACCAAGACGACCCCTCTACAGCCAGAAGGGGCGCTTTATCTTCAACAATTTCGTGAAAACGATATATTGAGGTTCAGACGAACCACTAAAACCATAACGCCTGCTCTACCACCGCACAGGACTCTCTTCACAACCAGGCAGGGCCCTCCTTACCCCCACCGATAATGTTGACACCCTCCGTAGGCCACTGGGCCATCTCCAGAGGCTCTTGGGCGATCTCCAGACGCCCGACAATCTCCCGAGGCCCTTGGACGATCCTTGGGCGATCCCCGGAGGCCCTTTGTATACCTCCAGGGGCCGTATGACGCCTTCCAGAGCCCATGGGCCGCCTCCAAGACGCCCTCCAGCCACACTCGGAGCGGGCGCCGCCTGATTTTGCTAGGGCGGCGAGGGGGCGGCAACAGGCAGTACTGTGCGCTGTTCGCCGTGAGGGAGAGGGGTCCTGAGGAGGAGGAGGAGGAGGAGGAGGAGGAGGGAGGAGGAGGAGGAGGAGGAGGAGGGAGAGGGAGCAGGAGGTGGAGGAGGAGGAGGAGGAGGGGGGAGAGGGAGGAGGAGGAGGGAGGAGGAGGAGGAGGAGGAGGAGGAGGAGGAGGAGGAGGAGGAGGAGGAGGAGGAGGAGGAGGAGGGAGGAGGAGAAGGAGGGAGGAGAAGGAGGAGGAGGAGAAGAAGAGAAAGAAAAAGAAGAAGAAGAAGAAGAAGAAGAAGAAGAAGAAGAAGAAGAAGAAAAAGAAGAAGGAGGAAACGGACCCTGGACCCTGGCGCTGTCCCCCAAACGGCTATTTTGTTCGTTGTCGTCTTCCGACGGTCCCAGGGCCCATGGAGGCCCCGAAGGCCCGACCACGGCGAACGGCTTCCAGAACCCCTTTCGTCCAGGACCCGTCTCCTTCAGATATTGGATTAAGTCGGGCGTGTCCCTCTACAGGAGGAATTCGTGTTGAAAAATCGTAAAATTATAGTCTGGGGACGATGTTTTGACCATTTTGGCTCTTTTTGAGCATTGTTTAAAAGTATGTTTATTCATTTTTCGCCCAAACTCCTCCTGGAGGACATGCCCGACCTAACTATAGGAAGCTGTTCCTTTCCCCCCTCCGCGCCCAGGTCACGGTGCGGTGCCGCCAAAAGGACCTCGCTCTCGTGAAGGGCTGCCTGGACCCGGCCGCCAAGAAGTACAAGGACCAGGGGTCGACGGGACGAGCGGGGAAGAAGATCCGAGGGCAGGAGTTCTACAGACAGTCCGATGCACCGATGATCCCCGACATCGAGAAGCCGTGGATGTGGATATACTCGGGCGCCATGTGCCCCAACACACACACACATCTATGTCCACCGCCCCCTGGGGTCCTGGCAGATCGGTTCCCTGGGCGGTGGAAGTGAATACGTGCCAGCCTCGCAGAAGACGAGCGGGGGGAGAGCGTCCACGGCCTCTCTTCTTCTTCCTCCTCCTCCTCCTCCTCCTCTTCTCCTTCTCCTTCTCCTCCTTATCATCATCATCATCATCATCATCATCATCATCATCATCATCATCATCATCATCATCATCATCATCATCATTATTATTAGTATTATTATTATTACTATTATTATTATTATTATTATCATCGTCATCATCAGCATCATCATCATCATTATCATTATCATTATCATTATCATTATCATTATCATTATCATTATCATTATCATTATCATTATCATTATCATTATCATTATCATCATTGTCGTCATCATCATCGTCATCATCATCCTACCCTTCTCCCTCTCTCCATCTCTCCCTCCCTCCCTCCCTCCTCCTCCTCCTCCTCCTCGTCCTCCTCCACTCCTTTTCCTTATCAGTAATTCCTCCCTGTCGAACCACGAGGCCAGTTTTTAGGGCGGGCCGGGCGTTTCGCCTGAGATCTCTTCACCACTTATGACTCTGAAGCTCAAACATTGGCAACAGCTTCACAGGGGAGGGCGGGTCAGTTTCAAAATATGGCTCTCGCCATAGCGCGGTGCACATTCGTTTAAACAATGCTAGAGCTTGACGGATTGAGGGCGGGTCGTTTTCAAAATGTGGTTCTTGTCTTAGCGCGGCGCACGTTCGTTTCAAACATTCGCAACAGTTTCACGGATTGAGGCTGGTTCCTTTTCAAAATGCGGTTCTCGCCTCAGCGCGGCGCAAATCCGTTTCAAAAGTTGCACGAGTTTCACTGGTTGAAGGCGGGTGGTTTTCAGCATGTGGCTCTCGCCCAAGCGCGGCGCACAATCGTTTTTGCAAGAGTTTCACGGGTTGAGGGCGTTTCCTGTTCAACATGTGGCTCTCGCCTCAGCGCGGCGCACATTCGCTTTCAAACTTTGCAAGAGTTTCGCGGAGTCCCATGGCCAATGTGCCAGAAATTGTGTTTTGAGAGGATTTAGGATTATGCGGGTGCAACAGTTATGTTGATTCGCTGTGTTGAAATCTCAGGAATGATTGATCCGTGGCGTTGGAATCCCGTGAACAATGTTTTGGCATGCTTCAAGGTCTTCAAACGGTTATGTTCCAAAGAGGCAGTTCCTTCAATGGACATGAACCGTTGTAGAGGCCTATGGAGAGGGAGCTTGAAGGGAGGGTTTATTCCAGCATCTTTGATGCGCCTTGGGTTTACACTGGTCTTCCTCCTCCTCATCCCCCTCTTCCTCTCCCTCTTTGGATTTGCTTGTCAGACGCAGGTCGCCGTCCTCGTCCTCCTCTCCTCCTCGTCCTCCCTTTCTGTGGGGGGCGAGCGCGGGCAGAGGAAGGAGGTGGCGCACGAGGACGAGGAGGAGGAGGGAGGAGGAGGAGGAGGTGGAGGAGGAGGAAGAGGAGGGAAAAGAATTGTGGGAGGCCGAGCGGTGAAAAGGATGAGTAAGGGTGGACGGAGGAGGAAGAGAGGAAATGATGCTGGGAGGAAGAGGGATGCACGAAGAGAGACAAGGATGGTGGGAAGACGAGGGGGATGAGTAAGGGTGAACGAACAGAGAAAATGATGATGGGAGGGCGAGGGGTGAAACGAGGAGGAAGAGAGGAAAGGACGGTGGGAGGACGAGGGGTGAGGGAGAGTGACGTGTGCGCGATTCTCGCGGTATACGCGGGTATTGCCGACAGGGTGCTGCGAATTTGGCCGAGCAGCTAACTCCATGCCACTTTGGTCTGCCTGGCTTTCAGCGGAACCACAAGCGAGTTTTGTTTTGGGGTGCCCTCTTTCCCCATGCTTGTTTTCGATGATGATGAACGTGCTGATGCATGATGCATCGCGTTGCTTCCAAACGGTCGCCCCTCAGCAGCAAAGTCTAATTCCGACTGCGAGTTAGACTGCGCTGACAACGCCCTTTTTGTTGGCGCCAGTGAAACCTCTCCCAGCTGATAGAGTACGTGAGGGAGGCCAGGGGGACAGCATGAATATCGTTCCATTGAAGCCAGCCCGTGGACTTGCCAGCAGTATTCGGCCAGGCGCCCATGATACGGCTATATGTTCATGCCGCAGAAATCGAGTATCATTTACCTTGGAGATGCCAGCCTGCGCCGGTGAAGGCAGCTGTCCTGACTGAGGTAGACATGGTGGTCGGCACGGGAGCACCACGTAAAGTGTGACGACACAGCAGACTAGGTAAGATGCGCACGCGAGGTGGTTGCGAGTGCGCATGCGCGAGCAGAGGAGCAGTGCGTCGTCAAGTATTCGCTTCTACCGAGATGTCTGCGCAACCTGTTGGGCATACTTCGTGCATGTGTTCGCCTTTCCACGGAGGCCCCTGCGTTGCCCATCATTCAAGTGACGCGCGAAGTGCGACCCCGCAGCTCCGGGAGGGCAGCGCTGTGCGTCGGTTGCGTTTTTGAACCATCGAGCTTTGACGTGTGTGGGCCTCGCACAGATTTTTTGTTGGAAGCGTCATGTCCTTCAGATGTCCCACATCATGGCGGGCAGCCGTGGGGCTCTGATCTGATCTGGCTCCCGCGGCATGAGGCCGACGCCTTTCAGAGCGTCGCAAACCGAAGTCGTTCAAATCTTGACACTGTCCTTCCAACCTTTGAAAAGATGTCCTTCCAACCTTAGACGCCAGTGCACCGTACTCGTCTATTGGACGTGTTCTACAAACGTACAATATCGCAACACTACTCACACGTTTAAGCGCCTTCTTGTTTCGATGACCAAAGGGTCCAACACTGTTCTTCCCCCCTGTGGGGGGTCTGGGGGGGACCCCCCCGAAATCTGGCCCCTGCCACGGGCGGAACGCCGGCAGAAGGCGGCACTTTTTATGCAGACGTGTTCCTGGCCGGCCCGGACGCCCCCAAGATGGTCCGCAAAGTGGTTCAAGAGGGCCAAGAGTCGCCGACGGATCGGTCCAGACCGTCGCAGATGGCCTCCAGACAGCCGACAGCTCAGGAAGCGTCCAAGACGCCCTTGGAGGCCTCAAAGAGGCCCCCCAAAAGAGCCCCAAGAGTGAGAAAGCATTGATCGCCCTCAGTTGTTGTCAGTGGTTTCCGAGTTTCCGCCTTTTCGGCTCTCCGACGCTCCAAGACGGTCCAGGAGGTTCCACATATTGCCCACGATAGCTTAAAGAGCTCCACAGAAGACACCCTGACGACTCAAGAGGTCCCCAAGACGGCCGATGAGGTTTCCAAGAAGGCCCAAAAAGGTTCCAGGATCGGTCCACGAGAACCCCAGAGGGAGAGCACGAAGCAATAGGTCCTGCGCCCAAAGAACCCCAGGAAAGGGCTCCCAAGAGGCCCCGCGAAGCCCCCAAGAAGCCCCAAGACATCCCCAAGAGGGCCCCAAGACGGCCAGAGACGTCCCCAGCACGGCCCCAGCACCATCGAAGACGGCCGACGAGACTCCCGATGCCAGTTTCGGGCCCAAGAGAGCTAATGGGCCTCCGAAGCGACGCCAACAAGGAACGAGAGGATCTCACGACAGCCGGAGGGAACCCAGGCCGCCCTGCCCAGCTTCAAGAGAGAACCTCAAAACCGACACCAGGGCCCGGGAAGCAGTCTCCGAGGCCGCCCTCCGAGCCAGGAGCGCCCCAGCACCGACGAGGTTCCCCCCAGAGGCGCGGGGGCCCTCCCCCACACGACCCCCTCAGACCCCGGAGGCTGTCTCCTCGCCCACCGAAGGCCCGCAACGCCCACGCTGAGCGTGCGGACCCAGCGACTCGAGCTCCATACCAAGTCCTCCAGAGAGCGACCCGAAGACCTTTCGGAAGCTCCCCACCTGCTCTCCTGCCAACCTTCCTGGGCGCCCCCTGCCCGCTACTACGGCCGTTCCCCTCCTCCAGCCTCTCGCCCGCCAGCTCCTTCGCCTGACTCTGCCAGCAGCGAAGCACGAACGCAAGTCTCGAGCCTACGCGGTGAGGCTTCATGGAAAGAGGAGGCGGCATCGGCGTCAGATGACGATGACGATGCCGTTCTGGTACAGGATGTGCTGCACCGCGCCAAGCGCCGCTGTCCCCCTCCGCTGAAGCGGCGCCGCTTGCGTCGCGCCTGTCGCCCTCTTGCTGTCGGCCTGGTGTCGGCGCTAGTCGCCAGCGCCGCCGCCGTGCGTTTCAATTTGGCGGGCGCCCCCCCCGCGATTCGCCCGAGCAGGGTATATATGTATATATATATATATATATATATATATATATGTATATATGTATATATGTATATACAGATATATATAACACGCCCCCCACGGATTTGTTAATCACAAGCTGATATTGCGCCACGCGAAGCGGGCCTCCGCCGCCGCGCAACTGTTGCGCCGACGGCGGGGACCAGTCTAGCATAGGGCGGGGGGGGGCCCTTGGTTGGTCCCCACAAGGGCGGGCCAGCTTGACTCGTAGGCTTCAGGACGGGAGCAATGGCCTCAGCCGTCACGGTTCGAGCGCGCTCGGGCCGTGGCCTCCTCGCGCGCGGGCGCTGCGTGCAGCGCGCGCGCCCCCCCTTCCGCCATCGCGACGGCGGCTGGCGGTGGCGCTCCTGGCTGGTGGGGGCGGCTGATCGGCCGCTGCCCCCAGCGCCGCGCTGCGGGCGCGGCGGAGTCGGCGGCGCCGGGGCCCGGCGTCGTCGTGCAGCAGCACGTGGAGGTCCACGTGCACGTCGGCAACGGCGTGGACGCCGCGCAGGCCGGGCGAGCAGCCGCGGAGGCTGCCGTCGCGGCCGCCGCCGACGCCTCGCGCGCGGCCTTCGCGGCGCCTGGCGC